TAATACAGGATAAATCAATGTGCACTCATTTATTGTTTATAGCTCCCATCAGCTCAAGGAGAGACACTGTCCTAGAGTTTCAAGGCTATCCACGCTGCCTTTGTAGATGGAAACAGACACTGCACTTAGGAGGGATTTTGAGAGCTCTGTTCAAACATTTCCCAGGAGTTCAGGAGGGATGGGAAATCACTAAACCCTGGCAGGTTCTCATCACTCTCAGGACAGGATTTTGGGAAAGGCCAAGTCAGGTTCACATCTCCCTTCTTGCCTTCTGTAGAAATTCAGTTTCTCATTAGTCATTGCCCTCAGGCAGGGGCTGGGGAGCTTAACTGCAGTTTGCATGGAGATGCTCAGATAAGATGGGCTGGGGAAGGGCAGCTCACATTCATTACTGTGCATCCAGGTGATGCAAGAGCTTCGCCCTGTCTCCTTCAGCTGCTGGAGCTGCAAAGAAAACCTTCCCAGCCCCTACAGCACAGTCAGAAAACCATCAGCACCACAGGGAGCACATTTTTCTGGATGTGGTCTGAATTCCTGTCAACTTTGCAGGGTTCTGACCCTTCGTGGTGGCTGCAGATGGGAGCTCCCAGGAATCCCTGTATCCCAGCACAAGCCAAGCAGGCAGAGTTTAATATTCCTCCCCATGCAAGTATTTTCTCTCATTAAATGCTTAAGAGCTGGAGGATTTGGGAGATTAATTTTTGCAGCTGGACATTTTCTTTAAGAATGCAATTTTCCACACAATTTTCCTCCTTTAGCTCTCTTTTATTCTAACCCCAAGACACCCACTTACCCAGGAGAGGACTTTCCTGCAAGGTTTGGAGAGGAATTCACCCCTGCACTTCAGTCCTTTCTTTTTACATCTGCTACAGACTTGCTTTCAGAAAACTGTTTCTACTTATTTCAACCCAGAAACTTGTCTCCAGTTCCAGGCAATCAACAGCAAGAATCCACAACTACAAATTCATTTATCCAAAGACCTGACTGGAACAAAGCCAGACCATGGATAGGTTTGTTTTTTTGTTTGTTTTTTTTTTTTTTTTAATTTAAAAGCACAAGAAGTTCCTTAAAAACCACGAGAGCTGATACACTGAACAGCACACAGCACTCAGTGACATGGCTGTGACAGGCTGGAGAATGGACTACAATGCAGAGGAGTTTGTGCACACAGGAACACAAAGCAAGGGTGAGATTTAATTATCAGCAACCTCAACCATGTGATTGAACAAGGGGCTGCTACAGGCACTTTGCCTTTCCCCAAGTGTCACCTGGAAGAGGATGGGGGGTCCTTCACTGCAAACAGCCCCAGCCTGTTCTGGGGACACAGCTCAGTGGAAGTTTTGTGTTCAATCTGCCATTGAATCCCTTGGAGTTAATGATGGCCAGGCACAGTAATGAGGGAGCTGCTCCTCCAAATTCTGGCTGAATATTCAACTATGAGAGTTTAGGCAAAGCCAGAAGGAAAGAGCCTCCTGACCTTCCCTGTCCCCATGTCCTCACCTTCACCCTGGCAGGCTCCCTCTCCCCTGACAAGCACTTCTCACACTTTTTCCCTGGAAAAGAAAAGCTTCTGGCTGAAGAGGTGACATCACACAGTTGTGTTAATGCCATTTCAGCCCTCAGCAGCCAAGGGGAGCAGAGCAGAGGGCACACATTTGATTCCTCACAGCCTCCACGAGACACAACTTTGCTGCATTTCACAGCAGATTTCCTGTGCAGGCAAAGAGCAAAAGCTGGACTACACGTGCTGGTTTTTAAACAAGCTTACCCTGGCCAGTGCTGCTGGCAGTGTGCTCCCTCCCTGATTTAAGCTTCCCGCTTCCCAGAGATAAAGGTGCCTTTCAAGTTGTTGATGCCAGCCTTCCCCTCCTAATCCCTCATCCCACCCTGACTTCAGAAGGCTCTGTATCATTCTCCATTGCTTCCAGAGTATAAGCTTTACATTTCTGCAGCAAATCCAACTTCAACAGTGATTAAAACACACAAATAAGAGACATTTCATTTCAAGGATGCCAGGAAATGAGTTCTCAAAAACCACACAGCGATCCTGTAAGAAGCACAAAATTGGTCCCTAAAGAACTCCTCTGTATTTCAATGCGGAGAATTTTATTTATTAATACATTCATTCTCATGCCTGTGCTTTAACACAGTCATGCTGGCTTCAAGCAATTGTTAAGCCTCACACAACTTCTTCTCTGAAGGGATGGGAGGTGAGGGAAAGAAAGAGGGAAGAGTGATTAAAATTAGTCACAAGGAATCCTATAAATACACCCGTGGATGGAGGAAGAAATCTCTCTTTTATTTAACTTAAAAATAGAGGGCTAAACTTTAAAAGACAAACAGATGGGATGAAGCAAGGATAAAAGAGAACTCAAAGAAAGTCAACTGGGCAATTTATTCAAGGATCTGTATTGTGGGGTGGCAGAGGAGGAGGTGGAGGAGGAGGGAGGAAGAATCTTGATTATCCAAAATTAATTCCTGAGTTGGGAAGCCATAAGGGAACTCATCTTATTGCTAGAGGAATCAAATCTCAGAGGCAGTATGGCACAGAGGTATAACGAGGAAAAAAGGGATGCCTGGCCAGGAAATGAAGCATTTGTTCCAAATGTTCAGCCTGTGGCAGCAAGGGCAGGATCACAAGACCTGTGCACCTGCAAATGGAAATCACGGGGATGTGCTGGACAAAACTGCACAGATCCATCCACGAGGTGTAACACCAACCAGAAACTCTCTGATCACGCTCAGACACATCTGCTGGCCACATCCAGCCTGCTGCTGGGATTTAATGAACACACACTGAGAAAAGCAAAGCTTCTGAGGGATGCTGGCTGCTGTTCTGCCCCTGCCAGTGCTCACAGCACAGTGGGGCTATGCCCCACTAAACAGCACATATCGTGTAAAAGTACTCCAGGTTCCTTGGTAAGAACACAATAAAGATGTGGAAGGGATTTATCAACGCTTCTTCTGGGAAAGATCAGAATGTAAACTAGAACCAGCCAAAAGGAGCCTCACAAAGCGCAGATGTTTATGGCACGATGAGATAGCTGCAGCGGGAAGGAGCCGCTCTGGGACAGCGCGCAGGAAAGGGCTTAAGGTCACAGGGGAAACCACGAGATTGTGCGGCACAACAGCACACGGGGCTGTGAGCAACAAGCGGCACCAGCGGTGACACCCCGACCTGCGGGTACCGGGCACCTGAGCTGCGGGTACCGGGCACCGTGACCTGCCGTTACCGGGCTCCTGAGTTGCCGTTACCGGGCACCATTACCGGGCACCTGAGCTGCGGGTACCGGGCGCACCGAGCCACAGCTCTGCGAGTGTCACCGGGAGCAGCGGCCACCGCAAAGCGACAAACACCGGGCAGGCAGCGACAAAGGGCTCTTACTTTCGTTAGGCAGCTCCTCCCGATCCGGCTCATCCAGAGGGGCTGAGGCGCTGCTGCCGCTGTCGTCCAGGGTGAGGATCAGCGGAACATCATCGTCCATGCTCACCGCCATGCCGTCCCTTGTGCTGCGGCCCACGGAGCTCCAACCGGCGACTCGCAGCTCGCTGGGCTGTCAGCAGCTCTGCCGGGCCAGCCGCGCCGCGGGGCTGTCTGCGGGGCACGGGGACACAGCGCAGCGCGCACCCATCTCCGGACAGCACCGCCGCCTCCCGAGCGCAGCGCGGGGCTCGCCGGGTCCGTGCCGAGCTCAGCGCACACGGCGAGCCCGGGGCTGCCCCTCCCGGCCGGGGCACGGCTCGCAGGACAGCGGGCACGCAGCGCGAGCCGCTCCTCGGCGGAGTGCAGAGCCCGCGGCGGCGGCAGCAGCGGCCGCGGCCGGCATGGCGCTAGGTGTCCCGGGCGCGCATGGCCCTGCCCGCGCCCGGCCGCAGCCCAGGCCGCCGGCAGTCCGCACACAGCAACTTCCCGGAGCGCCTTTCTGAACTGCGCGATGCCACAAGGTCACGGGTTTCTCTAAAAGGGGATGGAAAAGGAAAATGAAGCAGGCCCAGGCCAGCGCCACCGGGACGTCACACCGCTGTCCCCGTCCAGCGAGAGGGACACCGGCACGGCGCTGTCACCGCGACGGGGAGGCCCGGCCCGGCGCCCTCCCCGCGCCCTCCTCCCAGCCCTGGGTGAAGCTGCTCCTCACCAGCCCCGCGTGCCCGCGGCCCCGGGACCCTCCGGACCCTCCGAGCCCCCCCGGGACCGCCCGGCTCGGGACCCCCGCACCCCCCGGCCCGGCCCGCTCGGCCCCTACGAACCGGCGCCCGCAGCGACGCGGCTATTCCGCGCCCCGCCCCTCGCCTCCCATTGGCTGCTACCGTGCGAGCCCCGCCCAAAGAGGCGGGGCCTCATGGCTCCCGCCAATCTGCGCACCGAGCCTGTCCCCATCCTTTGCCGGAGGATCCGCGTCAACCCCGCCTCCCTCCCCGCCTCCCTCACTTCGCCTCGCCATTGGATAGAAGAGTTGTCCCTCAAGACAGATGAGGGTGCTGATTGGTCCGAGGTGGCGGGGGTGGGCTCTGGGGGAACAGAAGCGCGAGCTACCATTGGCTGCGCCGAGGCCCCGCCCCAAGGTCAGGGAGGAGAGCAGCGGTCACCGGGCAACGGCGGAACGCGGGCGGGAGCGGCTCGGGGACCGAGGGGACCGGGCCCGGGACCCCGCGCCACCCCCGGGCGGGGACAGCCGCTTCGCCCCGCGCCGCATGGAGACGAGGCAGTCACGGAGACCGGGCCTCCCAGTCCGCAGGCCCCGCGGCGGTAGGAATGGGCCGGGCGCTGAGGGCAGCCCAGCCGTGCCCTGGCGCAGGGGCCGCCGTGAGGGTGTCCAGGAGCGCTGGCTCTCCGAAGGTCCCGCAGGAGATGAAGCTGCCAAGGTCAGGCTGCTGCCAGCCCTGCTGCTTGTGCAGGGTAGCCGCTCCGTGCCAGCGCTCTGCTGGTTCCAGTGCAAAGCAGCCCTGCAGGAACCCAGCCTCAAGCCCCGATAAGCAACAAGTCAGGGTGGAGTCAAAGGTGGAGGGTGAGACTGATGTCAGTGCTGAGCAGGCAGAATAATGAGAGCAGCAGCAGGGAGGATCCCCTGGTTCAGGCCTCTGTATCAACAACTCTGGCCCGAGCTGACACCAGTGACGCTGGACAGGCCGGATCTGCAGGGAGGAAACAACTGAACACTTCCCCCACCTCATTTCATTCAGATTTAATGTGGGTTTTCTTCCACGTGAGCACCAGCTCCAGCAGCAACAGAGCAGCTTTTGCTCTCGTGCTGGGCTGCATAGCTCTGGCACAACAAGAGGACAGGGCAACAGTAAAGCACCAATCTGAGAGAGAATCATGGAACAAAATGCAAACAACACATTTATACTTAACCAACATCGTCCTCATGTGTAAATAGCACGGAAGTACCAGTTCTGACCTCCTGGAAGGCCTTGGTGACAACCTGGGCCAGTGTGGGACAGGAAAGTGTGGCTGATGAGATGGGCTCTAGTTTCCCCCACTGATTCCTTGGACCCCAAGCACAGCAGTGGGGGTAAAGTGGCCAATCCTGGCCACACATGCCACTGTTAACTTGATTTTCAGATAAAATCTCTCCTTATTTTAAGAGGCTTCCTCTTTCAAGGACTCCAGCTCTCCAGGATCACACTGGCTCAGTTCTCTGCTGCTCAGATTCCAGGGCAGTTTCCCAGTTTGCTGAGGACTCCCCTCGCTGGCTCTCCCACCTGCTGCTGGAACAGCAGTCCTGCTCCGTGTCAATCCTCAACCCTCTTGTCTCCATCTAGTGTCCAAATCACATCGGGACTCTCTCCCAGCCCAGTGAGACCTGCAGCCTCCACAGCCTGCACTCACTGTGCCCACAAACACAGCTGATCAGGCTGGGACTGACACCAGCACCGCCAGCCCCTCCTCTGAGAAGGCCTCAGTTGTTTCCTGTCCCCCCAGTTTTACCCCAGCTGGAGAAGAGCTGCTGGATTGCCTCAGTGGGAAGCACGAGGAGAGATCTGAGAGCTTGGAGTGAATCACAGCATCCTCACTCACCTTCTCGTGTTTTAATAACGTCAGGTTATTCTTGCTTCCTGTCAGGCCCAGAAATGAGCAGAAATTCTCCTCAGTGCAGGCTCCTGGCTGCCTCCAGCTCCACCTGCTGGAGTGGGTCAAGGCCCAATCCTGCTGCTGCTCAAGGTGCAATAAAATCATTTCTGGGACAGAATGATGCTCCTAACCTGGCCTGGCTGTCCTTGGGTGAATGTGAGTGTTTCCCTGGGCATGGGAGTTACCAAACTCCCAGTAACCTCAGCAGCTCTCACTGCAGCCTCCCTCCCCAGGGAGCAGTGCCTGCAAACCCCACATCACCCACCCCATGCCCTTTATCCACCTTCATACACACAGAGCTGCTCTTTCCCACCTCAGCAAAGGAAGTGGAGGAGCTTTGGAGATGCCCACATCACTCAGCAGCATCCCACAGATCTCAGATTTGTCTCGGAGCACTTACTTGGTGACACGGTGGCACTGCTGTGAGCACCTCACAGCCCTCAGCCACACAATTATGGATCTACTCAGCACCTCCTCACACCACAAGCTGCCAAAATCCCTGGGCAGATCCTTCTCTGTCACTAACCCCATCCAGCCTGGGGCCATCCCACTGCCAGCAGGATGCAGGGCAGTGCTTTCCTCACCTCTGTGCTCGTCCTCCCTTGTCCTGCTTTGTCAGAGGAGTCCATAAGGTGTTGGTGGCACAAAGCAAGGACAGCAGGGAGACACCAAGGCACATCCTGTGCAGCCAGGCAGAGGGAATGGAGCTCATTTCCTGGAGAAGGGAACCTTTGGGAGGGCCTCAGCAGCCTCTCAGTACCTGCAAAGAGGAGGCGGCCGTGAGGGTTGGGCCAAGGTTTGTGTTCCTCGGGTGCACGAGAGAACAGATACAAAATCAAACTAGAAAGGCTCTGACTGGATAAAGGCAGAATTTTTACCCTGAGGATGGTGGAGCACTGGGAAGGAGCCAGAGAGGCTGTGCAGCCTCTATTCCTCGGGGTTTCTAGCACCTTGGACGCACCTTGAGCAGGACAGACAGGGGATGCAGGCACGAGCACAGGTGGGATGGAGCAGGACACCTCCCACATGCTCAGCAAAGGTCCCTGTCAGGGCCCTCAGACCCCAACTGCCCCAGCCAACCTCACCTGGGACCCCACCCCAGCAGCACCCCCTGTTCTGGGAGCTGCATGGCCCTGCCTGTCCCCACGGAGCTGCACTGTCCCTACAACGTGCCTGTACCTGTGCCTGGACGGGCCCTGGACTGCACCGGGGGCACTCCTGTCTCCTGCTGCTCCGACCTCCTGGCTGGATTTCCCAGACAGCAGGAACCTCCTGTGACAGCCCCTGGACATCACGGGAAGCAGCTGCTCCCACCAAGGCTGTCCCGCTTTGGTGCCACGGGGGTGTGCCCTGAACCAGGAGGCCGCTGCTCCCAGCACTGTGGTCACCTCAGGCTCCTGGCTTGTCTTCCAGCATGGAACAGCCCCATCCTTCATTTCCAGCCACGGAAAGGCCCAGGGTCCTCGTGGGCTTGGTCACAACGAGGTCTCAGGTAGACTAAGGCTGTATGTACATCCAGAGGGACACTTGGCATCACTTCCAGGGGGGTCTGGCTGTGCAGCCACCTGCTGCCTTGGCATTCTTGGGCACAGGAGATCCGGACACGCTGTTGGACCGACCCCTCACCAGAGGGCCCTGGGGGGCAGCAGGGGTTGTTGGAGCACTCTGGTTCTTCCACCTTTCTGTGCCGAGGCTGGAAGAAAGGTGAATCCTGTCCGGGGGGGTGCTCAGCCGGCTGACAGACTGGGAGCGCCCTCTGCCAGGAGCAGCCCAGCCTGCGGGGCTCCCATCGCTCCTGGGATGCCTGCAGCCACACGAGCTCTCCTTGCGGCAGGGCTCAGCTGCGGCCGGGGGCGCGGGGGCCGGCGGGGGCACGGCTCGCAGGGGAGTGCCCCTGCAGCGTGGGGACAGGCCAGGCTGGCTCCGGGGGGCAGGCGGGGGGCTCCAGAGCAGCGAATGGAGCTTGGCTACATCTTCCTTCCTCATCCGCGGAGCTGCCCAGGCAGGACCCTGGGGCTTGGCACCAAACAGGGACTCGTCACAGAAGGACGGAGCGTGGCTTCGGGACCTTGGAGGGCGACAAGCGGAGAAACGCGGGTTGGTTACAGCGGGGGAAGGCAGAGGGGGACTCGAGGTGCCGAGGGAGTCGAGGGGCTCCGTAGGGCAGCGAGGCGGAGCGAGCCCCGAAAGCCGGGGCAGCGGAGGGAGCGCCCCGAGCACGGCTCACCTGCACTGGCTGCCGGGCCGGGAGCCGCCGGCGGAGGGAGCGGCCGGAGCCGCCCAGGGCGGCGGGAAGGCGGGCGGCGGCGGGCGGGCCCCGGCGGGCCGGCCGAACAGCGACTCATCCACGAAGGACGCCCGCACCCGGCGGCGGCCCCGGGGGTTA